ACTGAGCCACCCAGGCGCCCTGAAGGGCATCTTATAGTGTGTGAAGAATTACACCAGTGCTGATATCAGGGAAAGCGGGGGGAACTCACATTTTATCCTCACCTCCCCATCATGCGGAGTTACAAAGTTAATTGAGCAAAGTTTCTGTTCCTAAGAAGTCTGTGAATTTCCAGGCGCCGAATTGCCCTTGGATTTTGAAAGAAGCGGGTGGAAAACAAGGGCATTGGCTGGAAATGTTTTATTATCCACAAGCGGGAGAACCAAGACAAGCACGGAAAAGTTTGAAACCTCGCTAAAATAGCTGAATCCCCGAGGAGATAGGGGACCCCCTGGGGTGGCCAAAAAAGTCTTCTGCTTGTACTAACAGTAGCAGGCGCTTGCTATTTGTAGTTGAAGAGCAGAGCAGGTTAAGGAGAAGAGATAGATGTAAGCCTGTGGTTCTCAAACTTACATGGGCTTCAGAATCCCCTCAAGGCCTTAATAAACCAGACTGCTAGGCCTGATCCCCAGAGTTTCTGATCCCTAAATCTAGGCTGGGAGCCCAAGAATTTACATTTCTTTTTTTTTTTTTTTTCCTTAAGATTTTATTTATTTATTTCAGAGAGAGAGAGCACAAGATGGGGGAGGGTCAGAGGGAGAAGCAGGCTCCCCGCTGAACAGAGAGCCCGAGGATGTTGGGCTCGAGCCCAGGATCCTGGGATCATGACCTGAGCCGAAGGGCTCCCTGCTCAGCCGGGAGTCTGCTTCTCCCTCTCCCTCTTCTGCCACTCCCCTTGTTTGTGTTCTCTCTTTCTCTGACATATAAATAAATAAATAAAATCTTAAAAAAAAAAAATCAGGCTTGAAACTGACTGAATAGAAGATGGGGCCAGGAGGCAGACAGGAGGGCCTGGGAGGTATAGCTGGAAGAAAGGATTACACGGGTTTTTATGGGAACTTCTGGAAGCATGTTGTAATTTGAAAAGGTTGAGAACACTGAATTGCTAGAGCTCGAGGCACCTCAGATAGGATAAGGGGTTCGTTGCAGTTTGACTATAGTAGCTTAGTAAGATCTTTTAAAAATTATTTGTTTGTATGAGACATAAACACATACACTTTTTTCCCCCAAGTAATCAGGGTCACTACATTAATTAATCTGGGGGGAAAGTTGTTAGTTTGGGGGAAAGGATTTTAACCCCGAATGCCTGATCACTGCTATGCTGACCCTCGGTCTTTGTTAGATGACCTGTTTGCCCTCTTCTTTTCTGGTACCTGGCCTCCTCCCTCCAGGGAGACTGGATTTTCTCAACAAGACTAGAGAACAAACCGGAAATGAAGATAAAGATGAAGCATGTCCCAGCAAAGCCTGGACGACTAGTCACTCTGCCTGAGCCATACACAGTAAGTGCCCTGCATGTGCATATCAGGTGCACATGGTATAGTGACCCTCCCTACAAGGCCTCCTCCCCTACCACCGCCACCATGTTGCGGGTGCAGAGGGAGGGGAGTCGAGCTCAAATCAGAGGGCGCTAGAAGAAGCGGGAAATGTGCATGCTACCATTTCTTCCATTTCTGTCTTTGGCTAATGGGGCTGGAGTGGTGAGCCCCGAAATGGGGCAGTTGGTTGTAGAGATGGGGAGCAATCAGGTGGATGGTCAGTCAATGACACAATACAAAATTCAAGATGGCCCCAGAAGACATTGAATTAGAGGCAATACACCAGACACGGAATTGAGGGATGCATTCCATACGCTTTATCTGTTCCTGTCGTGAAGAGTAGGTTCCTTTTTTATTTTTTTAAAGGTTGTTTTTTTTTTTTTAGATTTTTTTATTTATTTGACAGAGAGAGACACAGCGAGAGAGGGAACACAAGCAGGGGGAGCGGGAGAGGGAGAAGCAG